TGACGCCGCCTACCACTGTTCCACTGGTGACGCCGCCTACCACTGCTCCACTGGTGACGCCGCCTACCACTGCTCCACCTCACCTGTCAGCAGTATATAAGCCCCATCTCCGCCATCCATAATTCATGAGTACACTTACAGACATACATCACGTGTACACACGTGTACACACTCGGACACTCCTTCAGGAGTCACTGTCGGGTCACCACATGGAGAAGACCCGGGGCAGGACCCGCCCTGGCAAACCTACATGAACATGATCCATAATTTTTAAAAGGGTGGAGGGGTAAGCCAGCTGAAGGCCTCGGTCAGATAACCAAAACCTCCAGCTGTGGGTCAACAGATGACTAAGACCCGCGTCAGGAAACACTTTTCCTGTTTCCTGACAAACCTTACCTAACCTAACCTAACCTGACCTAACCTGACCTGACCTGACCTAACCTAACCTGACCTAACCTGACCTGACCTGACCTGACCTGACCTAACCTAATATGCTGTAATTTTGTCAAGACTGACGGACTGATCACATCGACTCCAGGCTCAGGGACTGATTACCTCAAATTCCTCATCATATTCCACCTTTCTCTGCATTGGACTGAAGAAGTCACTGGCTGGCGAAACGTTTACAGAATATAGATACCCAAATGATGGACAAGTGTTTCATCACATAGAGCTGGTTCACAGTCACATAGAGCTGGTTCATAGTCACATAGAGCTGGTTCACAGCCATAAAGAGCTGGTTCACAGCAACATAGAGCTGGTTCACAGTCACATAGAGCTGGTTCATAGTCACATAGAGCTGGTTCATAGTCACATAGAGCTGGTTCACAGCCATAAAGAGCTGGTTCACAGCAATATAGAGCTGGTTCACAGCAACATAGAGCTGGTTCACAGTCACATAGAGCTGGTTCATAGTCACATAGAGCTGGTTCACAGCCATAAAGAGCTGGTTCACAGCAATATAGAGCTGGTTCACAGCAACATAGAGCTGGTTCACAGTCACATAGAGCTGGTTCATAGTCACATAGAGCTGGTTCACAGCCATAAAGAGCTGGTTCACAGCAATATAGAGCTGGTTCACAGCAACATAGAGCTGGTTCACAGTCACATAGAGCTGGTTCACAGCAACATAGAGCTGGTTCACAGCAACATAGAGCTGGTTCACAGCCATAAAGAGCTGGTTCACAGCCACATAGAGCTGGTTCACAGCCACAAAGAGCTGGTTCACAGCAATATAGAGCTGGTTCACAGTCATATAGAGCTGGTTCACAGCCACATAGAGCTGGTTCACAGCCACATAGAGCTGGTTCACAGTCACATAGAGCTGGTTCACAGCAACATAGAGCTGGTTCACAGCCACATAGAGCTGGTTCACAGCAACATAGAGCTGGTTCACAGCCACATAGAGCTGGTTCACAGCAACATAGAGCTGGTTCACAGCCACATAGAGCTGGTTCACAGCAACATAGAGCTGGTTCACAGCCACACAGAGCTGGTTCACAGCAACATAGAGCTGGTTCACAGCCATAAAGAGCTGGTTCACAGCAACATAGAGCTGGTTCACAGCAACATAGTGCTGGTTCACAGCAACACAGAGCTGGTTCACAGCAACATAGTGCTGGTTCACAGCAACACAGAGCTGGTTCACAGCAACATAGAGCTGGTTCACAGCAACCTAGAGCTGGTTCACAGCAACATAGAGCTGGTTCACAGCCATAAAGAGCTGGTTCACAGCAACATAGAGCTGGTTCACAGCCACATAGAGCTGGTTCACAGCAACATAGAGCTGGTTCACAGCCACATAGAGCTGGTTCACAGCAACATAGAACTGGTTCAGAGCCACATAGAGCTGGTTCACAGCAACATAGAGCTGGTTCACAGCCACACAGAGCTGGTTCACAGCAACATAGAGCTGGTTCACAGCCATAAAGCTGGTTCCAGCAAAAAGAGCTGGTTTACAGCAAAAACAACTGGTTCACAGCAAAAAGTGCGGGTTTACACAACACAGAGCTGGTTCACAGCAACATAGTGCTGGTTCACAGCAACACAGAGCTGGTTCACGAACATAGTGCGGTTCACACAACACAGAGCTGGGTTCACGCAAATGAGTGGGTTTACAGCAACCAGAGCTGGGTTTACAGCAACATAGAGCTGGTACAGCCATAAAGACTGGGTTTACAGCAACAAAGCTGGTTCAAGCAACCTAGGCTGGTTTACAGCAACTAGAGCTGGTTCCAGCCAAAAGACTGGGTTTACAGCAAATAGAGCTGGGTTTACGAGCCAGGCTTTAACCACTTAATCACCAATATTAACTTTATTAAAACACTCGTCATAATTAACTTGGCTTTTAAATTGCCTCATAACAAGGCCACTGTGGGTCGTGTAAGTCCGGATATTAATCTTTTCTGCCAGGGGAGCCGGGGGGGGGGGAGTCCCCCCCCTTTCCCTCGTCCCCCTCCCGGCGAGTGAGGGGCATCGCCCCCCCTGGTGGGTTTAAGGGGGAGGGGGGAAGGGATTGTAAGAATAACTCCTGCCCTCTCTCTTTTGGGTATTTAAACCCGTAAAATACCGGCTGATCCGCCGGACCGACAGACCTGGCTGATCCTCTATCCCGCAAGTACCTGGGTGTATCCTCCGGATCCGAAGTTTCCTGGCTGTATCCTGCCGGACCCTGACAGTATCCCCGCTGTTCCTGCCGGGGGGGGGGGGGGGGACCCTGACAGTTCCTGGCTGTATCCTGCCGGTATCCTACAAAATCCTCCGCCCTGCCGTATCCTGACAGAATCCTGCCTTATCCTGGGGATGGACAGATTTTGCCGTAGGATAAGCGGGGGATTAAACTTTATATAACATCTGCGTCACCATATATAACATCTTGCGTCATCAAGGAACACACGGGGGTCATCATGGTTATAACCCCTTTGGCATCATGGCTAACATTCTTGCGTCATCATACTTACAATCTTGGTACATGACTATAACACTTGGTCATCATGACTATACACATCCCTTTCGTCCATGACTTACACACTTGCGTCATCATGACTAAACTCTTGCGTCATCATGACATACCATCTTTGGGCATCATGACTATACCTTTAAAAATTTGTCCTTAAGTTTAAAAAGAGTCAAAAAACTTTAAAAATCTGATTTGGAAAAAAAAAAAGAGTAAATGAAGACAATCAGAGTTTTTGTCTCTGAGTGGCAACTTAAGACGATCAGATGTTTCTTTGTCGCTCTGGTAGCGAATTTGGGCAATAAATAGTGGGGGGTAAGAGGAGATGGGGGGGAAATGGGTAGTGGGTGGGAGGTTGGGAGTGGGGGGGTAGGATGAGAGTGGGGGGGGGTTGGGTGGTGGGGGGTAGGATGGATATGGGTGGTGAGTTGGGTGAGTGGGGGGTAGATAAAGGGGGGGGGGGTCTGAGTGGGGGGTAGGATGGGTATGGGTGGGGAGGTGCGAGTGGGGGGTAAATGGGTGTGGGGGTGAGGGGGCTGAGTGGGTTAGGATGGATGAGTGGGGGGTGGGTGGCTGATGGGTGGTAGGGGGGATGATGGGTGGGAAGATGGGGGTGGGGGGTGAGTGGCTGAGTGGGTGGTAAGATGGGGTGGTGGGTGGGTGGCGAGTGGGTGTAGATGGATGGGGGTGGTAGGTGGCTGATGGGTGGTAGGGGGGTGGGGGTTGAGGATGATGGGTGGTGGGTGGCGATGGGGGGTGGTGGTATGGGGGTGAGGGGGCTGATGGTGGAATATTGGGTGGTGACGGGGTGAGGGTGGGAGGATGGGTGAGTGGTGGTAAAGGAGAGTTTGGGGGGGGCGATGGGGGGTAAGATGGATGAGGGGTTTGGGGGGTGGTGGTGAAATGGTGGTAAGATGGATGAGTGGGTGGGGGGGGGGAAATTGGTGTGGGGGGGGGTGGGGGGTGGGGTGGGGGGGTAAGATGATTTTAGGTTGGGGGTGGTTTGAGGGGGGGGGGCTGAGTGGGGGGTAGGATGGATGAGTGGGTGGTAAGATGGATGAGTGGGTGGTGAGGTGGCTGAGTGGGTGGTAGGATGGATGAGTGGGTGGTGAGATGGCTGAGTGGGTGGTAAGATGGATGAGTGGGGGTGAGGTGGATGAGTGGTTGGAGAGATAGCTGTGTGGGTGGTAAGATGGATGAGTTGGTGGTGAGGCGGCTGAGTGGGTGGTAAGATGGATAATTGGGTTGGGTGAGGTGGATGATGGGTGGTGAGATGGCTGTGTGGGTGGTAAGATGGATTAGTGGGTGGTATGATGGGTGATGGGTGGTGGGTTGGGTTAGTGTGGTGGGGATGGGTAAGTGGGTGGGTGGGATGGGTTAGTGGGTGGTGGGTGGGTTAGTGGGTGGTGGATGGTTTAGTGGGTGGTGGGTTGGGTTAGTGGGTGGTGGGTTGGGTTAGTGGATGGTGGATGGGTAAGTGGGTGGTGGGATGGGTTTGTGGGTGGTGGGTTGGGTTAGTGGGTGGGGGATGGGTAAGTCAGTGGTGGGATGGGTTAGTGGGTGGTGGGTTGGGCTAGTGGGTGGTGGTTGGGTTAGTGGTGGTGGGATGGGTTAGTGGGTGGTGGGATGGGTAGTGGGTGGTGGGTTGGTTAGTGGGTGGTGGGTTGGGTTAATGGGTGGTTGGATGGGTAGGTGGGTGGTGGGATGGGTTAGTGGGTGGTGGGTTGGGTTAGTGGGTGGTGGGTTGGGTTAGTGGGTGGTGGGTTAGGTTAATGGGTGGTGGGTGGTGGATGGGTTAGTGGTGGTGGGATGGGTAAGTCAGTGTGGGATGGGTTAGTGGGTGGTGGGTTGGGTTAGTGGGTGGTGGGTTGGGTTAGTGGTGGTGGATTGGGTTAATGGGTGGTGGGTTGGGTTAGTGGGTGGTGGGTTTTGTTAGTGGGTGGTTGGATGGGTGGGTGAGTGGGTCCCCCCAGTCACAGAGTGGTGGTGGGTAGCAACCACCACCCAGGCGGCAGCAGCAGCAGCAGCTGAGCTACAGAGAAAATGTAAAGTTCAGTGTGAAAGTGAGTGTAGCAGCGTGTGGGTGTGTGTGAGAGGCTCCTCTGTCTCTGGTCTCACTGGCTCCCACCACAGTGCCACTGCTCACACAACACTAACAAGCAACCCTCAGTACCATCCATCTCTCACTGCTCCTTACCTCTCCGGTGAGTCTTATTTTGTGTATTCCACCCACTTATTTTCCTTATTCTACCCTTTCTACATTTTAGACTAAATCTGACACGTTCACTGGTGATGGTGTTAGGTCACACGTTCACTGGCTGCTATCAATAAATAAATAAATGTCAACAGTGACAATGGTATGCTGCATTTATGTGGGTAAAAGTATCTCTCCAGAAGGTGTCGTGTGTCACATACGATATGCAAGACACTCACGTGTCGTCATTGTCAGTAGCAAGGTGCAAGTGTCAACACGGGTGTCAGATAATCACCGTAGTTGATGTAATTGTATAAAACAATGTGTCAGCATCAACACAGGTGAGAGGGTGTATGCAATACACATACCCTCACATAGAGGTGTGAGGGGGGTCTATGTAATATACATACACCCCTCACATAAAGGTGTGTGGGTGGGGGTGGGGGGTATGCTCCCTACACCTCCAGCTGGCTACAATATACACAACGATCTCTTCATGTCGACATCTACACCAGGTAGTGAGCAATATAATGATTTTATAGCACATAACACTACGTGGGTTACTACATCCCACCCATCTACACATGTAAGACACTACGTGGGTTACTACATCCCACCCATCTACACATGTAAGACACTACGTGGGTTACTACATCCCACCCATCTACACATGTAAGACACTACGTGGGTTACTACATCCCACCCACCTACACATGTAAGACACTACGTGGGTTACTACATCCCACCCACCTACACATGTACGACACTCTACGTGGGTTACTACATCCCACCCACCTACACATGTACGACACTACGTGGGTTACTACATCCCACCCACCTACACATGTACGACACTCTACGTGGGTTACTACATCCCACCCACCTACACATGTACGACACTACGTGGGTTACTACATCCCACCCCCCTACACATGTACGACACTACGTGGGTTACTACATCCCACCCACCTACACATGTACGACACTACGTGGGTTACTACATCCCACCCACCTACACATGTACGACACTACGTGGGTTACTACATCCCACCCACCTACACATGTACGACACTCTACGTGGGGTTATATTACACAACCACCTACCTTGGGTCACCTAAATTCTTAAACAAGAATAAAAACGCTTAAGCTGGCCTCTGGTCCCCTGAAAAAAATCCAAGAAAAAAGTTAATTAAGCTTATGCAAATTTCTACACAGGTAAGGTTAATTAAGCTTTTCCATATTAAGCAAATTTCAGCAATGGCAGCTTAAGTCTCTGGTTGAACTGTGTTTCTAAATTAAAAAAAAAACTGGCGTACAAAAAACTAGCATAAGTTTTGCTAAGTTCTGTTTTGCTTGTGGGTAAAGTTCACGTTCGTTGTGGATGATTAAAGTTCACGTTTGTTGTGGATGATTAAAGTTCACGTTTGTTGTGGATGATTAAAGTTTATGTTTGTTGTGGATGATTAAAGTTTATGTTTGTTGTGGATGATTAAAGTTTATGTTTGTTGTGGATGATTAAAAGTTCACGTTTGTTGTGGATGATTAAAGTTTATGTTTGTTGTGGATGATTAAAGTTCACGTTTGTTGTGGATGATTAAAGTTCACGTTTGTTGTGGATGATTAAAGTTTATGTTTGTTGTGGATGATTAAAGTTCACGTTTGTTGTGGATGATTAAAGTTTATGTTTGTTGTGGATGATTAAAGTTCACGTTTGTTGTGGATGATTAAAGTTCACGTTTGTTGTGGATGATTAAAGTTTACGTTTGTTGTGGATGATTAAAGTTCACGTTTGTTGTGGATGATTAAAGTTTACGTTTGTTGTGGATGATTAAAGTTCACGTTTGTTGTGGATGATTAAAGTTCACGTTTGTTGTGGATGATTAAAGTTCACGTTTGTTGTGGATGATTAAAGTTCACGTTTGTTGTGGATGATTAAAGTTCACGTTTGTTGTGGATGATTAAAGTTCACGTTTGTTGTGGATGATTAAAGTTCACGTTTGTTGTGGATGATTAAAGTTCACGTTTGTTGTGGATGATTAAAGTTTATGTTTGTTGTGGATGATTAAAGTTTATGTTTGTTGTGGATGATTAAAGTTTATGTTTGTTGTGGATGATTAAAGTTCACGTTTGTTGTGGATGATTAAAGTTCATGTTTGTTGTGGATGATTAAAGTTTATGTTTGTTGTGGATGATTAAAGTTCACGTTTGTTGTGGATGATTAAAGTTTATGTTTGTTGTGGATGATTAAAGTTACGTTTGTTGTGGATGATTAAAGTTCACGTTTGTTGTGGATGATTAAAGTTTTATGTTTGTTGTGGATGATTAAAGTTCAGTTTGTTGTGGATGATTAAAGTTTATGTTTGTTGTGGATGATTAAAGTTTAGTTTGTTTGTGGATGATTAAAGTTTATGTTTTGTTGTGGATGATTAAAGTTTATGTTTGTTGTGGATGATTAAAGTTTCAAGTTTGTTGTGGATGATTAAAGTTTATGTTTGTTGTGGATGATTAAAGTTATGTTTGTTGTGGATGATTATAACGTTAATCGTGCGTTTGTTGTGGCATGATTTAAAGTTATAGTTTGTTCGGATGATTAAAGTTTATGTTTGTTGTGGATGATTAAAGTTTATGTTTGTTGTGGATGATTAAAGTTTATGTTTGTTGTGGATGATTAAAGTTTATGTTTGTTGTGGATGATTAAAGTTCACGTTTGTTGTGGATTTATTTAAAATTCACGTTTTTTTGTGGATGATTAAAGTTTTTTGTTTGTTTTTGGTGATTAAAGTTTATGTTTGTTGTGGATGATTAAAGTTTATGTTTGTTGTGGATGATTAAAGTTCACGTTTGTTGTGGATGATTGAAGGTGAAGCGGTAAATCCGTGCGGGTCATTTTCACCACGAGGGTGGAACACCTCTCCAAGATACGTAATTAAAATTGAATACGTTGCATAATATTCCCAATAAAAAAATACAACATGCAGAATACACTAGTATAACATTTATCTTGAATTATGAATTGATGTGTACATTAACATTAACCCAAGTTAAAATGTGGCAGGTAAAACACCGTGTTGCTGTGTTTGTTTGTGTTTGTCAAAGGTCGTGTTTGACAGTGTTGAGGCCATGTTTATCAACGGTAACCTGCCGCCGCCTGCGGTAACCTGCCGCCGCCTGCGGTAACCTGCCGCCGCCTGCGGTAACCTGCCGCCGCCTGCGGTAATGTGGGTACAGTGTTCTGCTGATCTCTTTCTCCTCTCTCTCTTATTTCCCCACACACGTTTTCTTACTTTCCTACTGCCTCTACCCCTCTTTTCCTCTCTACCTTCTCCCCTTTCCTCTCTCATTTCATTCCTCTACGCTCTGATTCCCTGTGTGCCCGCTCCTATCTTCCTCCTCCCTCTCCCTCACCCTAACCCGTGATGTTCATCCCTTCTCCCTCTCCCTGGTGATGTTCATCCCTTCTCCCTCTCCCTGGTGATGTTCGTCCCTTCTCCCTCTCCCTGGTGATGTTCATCCCTTCTTCCTCTTCCTGGTGATGTTCATCCCTTCTTCCTCTCCCTGGTGATGTTCATCCCTTCTTCCTCTTCCTGGTGATGTTCATCCCTTCTCGCTCTCCCTGGTGATGTTCATCCCTCCTCCCTCTCCCTGGTGATGTTCATCCCGCCTCCCTCTCCCTGGTGATGTTCATCACGCCTCCCTCTCCCTGGTGATGTTCACCCCGCCTCCCTCTCCCTGGTGATGTTCATCCCTTCTTCCTCTCCCTGGTGATGTTCATCCCTTCTCCCTCTCCCTGGTGATATTCATCCCTCCTCCCTCTCCCTGGTGATGTTCCTCCCTTCTTCCTCTCCCTGGTGATGTTCATCCCTTCTCCCTCTCCCTGGTGATGTTCATCCCTTCTTCCTCTTTCCCCGGGGATGTTAATCCTTCTCCCTCTCCTGGTGATGTTCATCCCTTCTCCTCTCCCTGGTGATGTTCAAACCCTTCTCCCTCTCCTGGAGATGTTCATCCCTCCTCGCTCTCCCTGGTGATGTTCATCCCTTCTCCCTCTCCCTGGTGATGTTCATCCTTCCTCCCTCTCCCTGGTGATGTTCATCCCACCTCCCTCTCCCTGGTGATGTTCATCCCGCCTCCCTCTCCCTGGTGATGTTCATCCCTTCTCCCTCTCCCTGGTGATGTTCATCCCACCTACCTCTCCCTGGTGAAGTTCATCCCGCCTCCCTCTCCCTGGTGATGTTCATCCCGCCTCCCTCTCCCTGGTGAAGTTCATCCCGCCTCCCTCTCCCTCGGTGGGTGTTCATCCCACCTACCTCTCCCTTTGGGGATGTTCTCCCGCCTCCCTCTCCCTGGTGATGTTCATCCCGCCTCCCTCTCCCTGGTGATGTTCCTCCCCCTCCCTCTCCCTGGTGATGTTCATCCCACCTCCCTCTCCCTGGTGATATTCATCCCGCCTCCCTCTCCCTGGTGAGGTTCATCCCGCCTCCCTCTCCCTGGTGATGTTCATCCCGTCTCCCTCTCCTTGGTGATGTTCATCCCGCCTCCCTCTCCCTGGTGATATTCATCCCACCTCCCTCTCCCTGGTGATGTTTATCCCGCCTCCCTCTCCCTGGTGATGTTCATCCCGTCTCCCTCTCCCTGGTGATGTTCATCCCGCCTCCCTCTCCCTGGTGATGTTCCTCCCCCCTGCCTCTCCCAGGTGATGTTCATCCTACCTCCCTTTCCCTGGTGATGTTCATCCCACCTCCCTCTCCCTGGTGATATTCATCCCGCCTCCCTCTCATTGGTGAAGTTCATCCCGCCTCCCTCTCCCTGGTGATGTTCATCCCGTCTCCCTCTCCCTGGTGATGTTCATCCCACCTCCCTCTCCCTGGTGATGTTCATCCCGCCTCCCTCTCCCTAGTGATGTTCATCCCGCCTCCCTCTCCCTGGTGATGTTCATCCCGCCTCCCTCTCCCTGGTGATGATCCTCCCACCTCCCTCTCCCTGGTGATGTTCATCCCACGTCCCTCTCCCTGG